AAATATGAATAAATTCTAAAAAGAGCTAAAAAAGGGCTAGGGGCAATTTTAAATCTATGTGGCCAAAAAACGTATGTGGTAGCTAAATCTAGCCACCAAAGGACTAAAACGGCAACACTGGTGGTGGCTTTGCGCGGAGAGAGATAAAGGCGGATTCACCGTTCCTGTCCGGACACTTTTTGTTAGTAATTTTACGCGTTCCTTTCCCAACTTGTCTCACTGAGAGCGCGACAAAAATGTGCTGAACACTCTTTGTTCGAATCAAATTGATTTTGATTTTCTGTCGGAACGACTTGATGATTCGGGTTGCCGCGTTCTCCTTAATATGCGTTTGCAGTGAATTGAATGTGTTATTTGCCCTAAAAATCGTATGTAGGCAACAATATCATCAGCTGTTTGCTTCAGAACAAAATAAAATGTGCCGAACTGAACGGTGAACCGTACNAAATATGAATAAATTCTAAAAAGAGCTAAAAAAGGGCTAGGGGCAATTTTAAATCTATGTGGCCAAAAAACGTATGTGGTAGCTAAATCTAGCCACCAAAGGGCTAATGCCGTTTTAACACTGGTGGTGGCTTTGCGCGGAGAGAGATAAGTATTCTACTTTGGAGTAGAGTACAAGGCAAAGAGTATTTGCAAGCGTAGGAGAGACTAATGTAATCTGCAACCCTTTATTGTTCAAATTTCTAGAAGAAATTTCACTAATGTTTAGCCTTTTAAAGGTTTTTTTCAACGCGTTTCACGTTGAATATTCTGTGCGGGGCAAAGCATATTGAATAGGTAGCAGCAGTAGAGCAGCTGATTTTATTGTAATTTTTCTTTAAATTTTACTCTAAAATTTCAAGCTTTGTTTACGTATATGGATTCCAAAACCATTGTCATTAGGCGAAACTACGGCAAAAAAAGAAGGCTACTATGAGAATGTTGTACAAGTAAAGAAGTTCTCAAAGATGGAAGGGCTCCACCCTTCGAAGGTACGGTTTGCATTTCAGCCCGCTCCGGACGCTATTCACTGCATTCTGCTTGGCGAGTACGAGTCTGAAAATAATCCGTCGAATATCACTTGTGCTTCAAAAGTAGTCGGATATTTTACCTGCCTAGGAATGTTTGTAATAAATTTTATGGGGTTAAAATCCCCAGCACAAAGAACAAAGTTATGGAAAAATATTCTACAGATGTGTGATATTGCAACTGAATATTTATGTGCTGCGTTCACAAAAGATCGAAAAATATATGCTAAATAAAGATGCTGTTTCATGGCTAATAAATCTACGAACATTGAAAAAGATTTTCAAATAGTCTAGCTTTCGTAGAAAAAATTTGCCAAATTATTTTTTCTCCCGTATTCGGCTGCCATAAATATGAGGCTTTCCATTCTTAAACATTCATTAAATAAAGTCAAATTACCGAGCATTACAAACAATTCATATTTAATCAGAAGCAATTCTTTGCTGGGTTTATTTTGAATCAAAATGTGATAACGGACGTGACATATTTTTCCCCCATACAATACTTTTTTTTTACTAATAATACATATATAATTAAATGTTTTATTTATTTTTTTCAGTCTTCTCTCCAGCGTTTTGCGCTTTCATAACCTGTTTTTGCCATCTGAATACGAAATTTAAAGTTATGTAGTCATTTAAACCCATTTATCAGAATTTTCGGTTTACATTTTCATGGAAACACCCTTATAAGAACTAAAACTAGACAATCTAAATGCTTCATTCATACTGAATTCAATTTCTGTCGTACGATATCTCTTTAGCTCAAGCCATTTGTTTTAGATAAGGTCCTAAAAACAACTTCACTTCCGCTGCTTCAGTGTGTGTATAATTCGTGGAATCGTTGACACTCTGCTTTTTTTGTACTGAAGTTCTGTAGATACATACATATGTATGTATGAATAGAATTGTTTAAAAGATAATAAGAAGTAAAACAATAAGTGCCACACATAAAGAGTCACGAAAGTTACATACATTTAACTCAAAAATTGATAAGTGCATATACACATGTAGTTAAAGTTATATACAAAAGATATTCAACGTTTACATTCTACACTTTTGAGCGAATATTTATGAATCACACTGGTGACAAATCGGTGGTCGGTAAAGGCAGCATATACGGCTGGGTACCATTATTTGCAATTGGGTCTACTTTCAGATGTATTTGGTATGTAAATTCAAACGCAAATACCGAAACTGGTTTCTGGTTAAGCATTGATACGCTTTGATGGTAAAATGGTATGTGAAAATAAAAATCTATTGCTTTATATGTCTGTATGTATGTATGTAACTGTACTATACAGTGACTCATAACTCAAATTTTCAGTGTGTAAGCATAATTTGTTGTTAAGTGTTGGTCCAAGTCTGATTGAATCTTCTCTAGTAATTAATTGAAACATAGACCAGACAAGAGCCGGGTTTGATTTTTCTTACAAGTTCTCTCTCGACTGGAAAAGCAATTTTGAATATCTTTTAAGGCACTGTATCGGCAGTTTACATTTCGTCGCCTGGGTAAAAGATTTTCGTAAGCGCCATTTTGACTATTTTTAGTTCTAGATGCAGTTATATATTTTGAAACAAGATCTTTCGATTGGTGTTATCAGTTTTTAGATATCTCCTTTAGTTTCCGAGATATTGACCAACATTTTTTCGATAATTTAGTAAAAATTTAGTTACTGATGCAGTCATATTAAACTATATAATCAATATCTTAAAAATGGCGTTCTCCATTTTTGGATATCTCCTTTGGTTTCCGAGATATTGAGTAAAAAGTGTCGTTAATTTAGTAGAAATTTTGATCACATTTTGTCGTATTTCATACAAAAGTGGCTGCCAAATTGTGGACAAATGACGTTTACGACAAAATTTTACTAAAGAAAATCCTTCATAAACTCAAAACTAATTAACAATAAACATTAAAAATTAAATAATTTAAGAATCTTGTGAACTAGTAACATTTTCAGAGACTTTGGACAAAATCTATGTTAACGTTTTTGAGAAATTGCATTTCAAAACTTCAATCGCGATTTCCCACAACCTGCCGAAATTAACATACGACAATATTTTACCCAGACGACGATTTGTCTCTAAAATGTAGGCTCAATCTAGGTCAATCAAACGTCAAATGTGGTTAGTGCGAAGTGACGCGTATGCAAAAACATTTACTCACATATGTATGTATGTATGTGTTTGCACATTGCATACTGATATATGTATGTGTGCACATATCGACTGCTGACTGGAAGATCGACATATCTCGGCAGCCAGTTCGAAAACACCCTATCTCAAAAAACTTTTCAAGAACGCCCTATTTCAGAATTCGTTTCAAAAACGCCCTATCTCAGCTGACGAATCAAAAACGCCCTATATCAGCACATTTTCAATACATTTTGAAGTAAGATAGGGCCTTTTTGAACCGAATTGTGAGATAGGGTGTTTTTCAATAAAATTCTGAAATAGGGCGTTCTTGAAAAGTTTTTTGAGATAGGGCGTTTTCGACCTGGCTGCCGAGATAGGTCGATCTTCCACTCAGCAGTCGATATGTACACACATACATATATCAGTATGCAAGTATGCAGTATGCTCATTAAAGTGGTTTCTTATATTTTTTAATAACTAATCTTTATATATGGACATCACTAAAAGCTCCTTTTCATATAAAAATTCGTACGTGTCCTACCCGTGTCCAAACGTTGTCCCACACGTGACAGAGGAATTTCCGATTTTTTGTATAAAAAACCATAATTATTTGCAGTTTTTGCTTGGTCTCTGTTCCTGGTCCTTTGCTTCATTATAAGACAGGAAGTTCACACAGAAAAGTGAAATAACTTCGCAGTTTCCGTAAAATATATCTGCTCCTAAAAGAAGCAGGTTATTTTTTTTGTCCCAGCCTTGACAGAAGAAATAAATCAGATTTTCTCCATATAAAAGTAAGCTGAAATTTTTTTCGTATTTTGTAATAACTCATATAATAGTCAATTAGGTCTAGCTTTATCAAAATGTAGAATTGTTTAGTACTTTATCTTAAATTTAAACAAAAAAAGAAAATTTTTTATTTACAAATGTCCAACCCGTGACGGCGGAATCGCCCATATATTTAACGATTGTTTTCATATTTGAACTTGAATTTCTTAGAAGACAACACGCAAATAAAATTGATAAGGAAACTTTAAGTACAAAGGCCCTTAGGTTGAACATACTGTTGAGTAACTAATGTCTCCAGCACAAAAAATACGAAAACTCGATTTTCCTAAAAACTTGTCTAGCGATTTTTTCTTTTTGGTCTTAAATTACTTAGAAAGCATAATAGAAAGAAATTCACAAGAAAATTTGAAGTGCCAAACCCTTTGGGTTGAACTTGGTTCCGACCCACCGTGAGTATACTCAGGCCTGGGCGACGCCGCTTGCGCAGTGCTCTCGGGGCAGCGTTTCGTCTTCGTGTATACGAAGTTGAAAATGAAAATCAAAACATAATCATTATTCGTGATCGAAATAATAAAAATCAAATCATAATTAATAATGATTACCGTCCCTGTTAAAGTACTCTCCAATGCCATTTTAAGAAATCAAACGGTTAAAAAGTTACGTGGAAAGACAAGAAAATTTAGTTGAACTTTAATAATCCAGAATCACTACTTTATTATTTATTTATTTTTTTTAATCTAATCTATGAATGGTACACACCTGTATGATATTTTCATAATACTTATGGACATACAAGGTCTATTCTGCGCTGGTAATACAAATTTTCTAACCGGTAAATGAAGTTCCTATCAATTTTTAAACTCTTTTCGCATTCTGTGTATTCTTGTAACCGATAAATTGTTTTACCATCTCATAAGCTGGTAACAAAATAATTCCCCGTAAAATATGCTGAATTTCTGAATATTTTAACTGCATTACCAACGTAGCTAGAATCGCGATGACAAGCACTGGCAAAATTTTTTGGTAATAAAATTTTCCGGTTACAAAATCTTCGGTAACGTGCAGAGTAGACCTGTTAAGATCAGCGTCCAAACACATTCTGTAAATTAAATGCAGCGTGCAAAAGAAAAAAAAACAATGCTCAATCATCACTTTGACTCACTGGTGTTTTAGCTAGTTTTGGGATTACAGCACTACAGTAAATCTGATTATAATATATACATATATGTATATTTTTTGAAAAATATCCAACAGATATAGCNTCCAATGCCATTTTAAGAAATCAAACGGTTAAAAAGTTACGTGGAAAGACAAGAAAATTTAGTTGAACTTTAATAATCCAGAATCACTACTTTATTATTTATTTATTTTTTTTAATCTAATCTATGAATGGTACACACCTGTATNCCATTTTAAGAAATCAAACGGTTAAAAAGTTACGTGGAAAGACAAGAAAACTTAGTTGAACTTTAATAATCCAGAATCACAACTTTATTATTTATTTATTTTTTTTAATCTAATCTATGAATGGTACACACCTGTACGATATTTTCATAATACTTATGGACATACAAGGTCTATTCTGCGCTGGTAATACAAATTTTCTAACCGGTAAATGAAGTTCCTATCAATTTTTAAACTCTTTTCGCATTCTGTGTATTCTTGTAACCGATAAATTGTTTTACCATCTCATAAGCTGGTAACAAAATAATTCCCCGTAAAATATGCTGAATTTCTGAATATTTTAACTGCATTACCAACGTAGCTAGAATCGCGATGACAAGCACTGGCAAAATTTTTTGGTAATAAAATTTTCCGGTTACAAAATCTTCGGTAACGTGCAGAGTAGACCTGTTAAGATCAGCGTCCAAACACATTCTGTAAATTAAATGCAGCGTGCAAAAGAAAAAAAAACAATGCTCAATCATCACTTTGACTCACTGGTGTTTTAGCTAGTTTTGGGATTACAGCACTACAGTAACTCTGATTATAATATATACATATATGTATATTTTTTGAAAAATATCCAACAGATATAGCGATTTTGACCATATCCCTACGAAACTATGCTTAATGACCAAAATCAAAAGTTCTACAGATCGTCCATATACATATGTATATTTTCTAAAAACAATGTACTTTTTTAGATCGTGAAGACCAATCCATTTTATGTACTGGAGAATCTGGTGCTGGAAAAACTGAGAATACGAAAAAGGTCATACAGTATTTAGCGTACGTAGCTGCATCAAAACCGAAAGGCTCTGGAGCGGTAAGTGTTCGGATAAAATTAAGACCATAATAAAAAGCTAAAACATTTAATACTACAGTTGTTCTTAAAGGCAATTTTTTTTAGTATGTACTAAGTATATAACTTTTGTTTGTGTATGATTGTACTCAAATATAAACTCAATTTAATTCTATGCACATTCCACATGATTGTATTTTTGTCTTTAGTATGTACATGTGTATACTTATACATATCTACGAGTACCTCAAAGATATTGGAGTACGACCCCTTGTTATCATCGAAAAAGCAAATAAATACAAACATTAACTCATTCTCTAAAAAAATTATCTGAAGTAAAATGATTAAAAACCTTTTGGTTGGCGATTCAGAGTAAAAATATTTATATCATGACTCACCAGTTCAGTGAATAAACAAAGTAAAGAAAAACGCGAATGTCAGTTGAAGGCAAACCAACAAACAAAAAAAAAAGGTTGAATGAAAAAACGAAGAATGGAGCTGTGTGCAGAGCTGTGTGGTGTTGTGTTAATGAAGAAATGGGGCACAGGCTGAGATCGTGCGGTTAGCATGAAACATCTTTCGAACATGTTGCAGCCACGATAGCCACAGCTTTTAGCTCCATTTAAGGTGAACAGTGTCATCTAATGTGGAAAGCTAAAGTCCTAAGTACGTATAAATATTGAATAAACAATATGTGTAACCGAAAAAAAGTGCGATCATTGGTGGAATGGTCATTGCAAAATTGAAATGCTCGTGTGACGGGCGAACGTACATACATATGTATGTATGTATTAGGGATGCCAAACCCGGGATCCCGGAGTTTTTGACTTCCCGGAAATCCCTGGATTTGCTTGCATTAATCCCGGGATCCCGAAAACTTTGAAATATCGAATTGATAGTAAGAATTTGTTTATGAATTTTGAAGTATGATTTTTGTAAAATGCCGTTTTGACTGCAATTAACAAAAAGTTTGAAACTGTACTTTTAAGTTGCAGTCTGAGCCTTTTTTGAAGAAGATTTCAATGAATTTACTCATAGCGTAGCTAATGAAAACGAAACAGAGAGTTTTAAGGAAAAGTTAGATAATTTTTCAGATAAATCTACTCAAAACTTCCTCAAATCGAAAAACGAGAAACGTGCTGGTAAAAGAAGTTCAAATATTTTGTAATGGAGGAGATAGTGGTCATTATCTTTAAATGGATTATGTCTACCTTTTGGCAGTTCAGCCTAAAAGTGTTGATGCCGAAATATGTTTTTCATTAGTAGGTTTTGTATGTAAAAACTGCAGGTCAAGCTTAGAAGACTTCGCTTTGAATGCTTTGCTGCTCTTATGAAAACATTTTAAGTGCAATAATAGCAACACCGGAAAAAAGGGATGTGTGTTTTTAACCAGACCCACCTACCAATATGTATTTCGACCCGCTGAATCCGGTTCTGAGATCCGTTTGACCCGTACACCCTCAAAATTTCTAGTAAATTGCGAAAAAATGGCAAAAAATTCTACATTCGCCATTTCTTTATAGAGTAGAATAAACATGTTTAGAGAAATTGTTTTTGTATTATGTTTTTTTATTAATCGTTACTTTCCTCAATCACATGGTTTTTTAAATACAATTAAACAAATGTTTTACTTTAAAATTTGTCTGATTGAATAAATAACTATCGCTAGCGTAGAGTGCAAAGTTGCTAAGACCCAATTTAAAAATTGTACAGGAGAGGAAAAAACTTCATATAGCCATTTTGTTCAAGTATTTCGCAAAACTTTCAATACAACATTTTGCCTGTTTAAAGCAAAGCAAAACTCCATACGAATCAGAGGGATTCGATCTTTATTAAAAGATTTCGAACTTTTTTGGCCTTATCGAATTTTCGGAGCTTTTTTTTGGCCTTAGCAAATTTTCTTTTCATTGAATATAAACGAGAAAACATAAAAAAAGGACCTTTACCCTTTTCGAAACGATGCAGTATTAGTTTATCTAGCCTCCTATATCAAAATATGATTTTTCATTAAAAGTGAAGTTAGCAACTTTTCACTCTAAGCTAGCGATATATGAGTTTTGCAATCAGTTTATCGTAAATTTTAAATAGTTTTATTTCATGGTATGTTTAAATGCTTTCAGATATTGAATTTTTACTCATATTCATAAAATTTATGACTGAATTTGAACCTAAAAAATATCCCGAAATCCCGGGATCCCAATTTTCCTGATATTTTGTCATCCCTAGTATGTATGTATGTATGTAATACATCTGACGATAGTTTTGTATTCATAACCGTATATCATGCTGAGAAAGAAGAATACATACAGTAACTCACATAACTGATCACATGGTGATTTTCTTTACAATAGACGTGTTTTTTTACACGCATACGTATATAAGCTTAAAAATTGTATGGAGCTCTAAGCGACAAACTTTATGTGCGTTTATGAATAGTTGTCGGTAAAATTAAAATTACTTGTTTTGAAATGGAAATTGTCGATGATTGGTTTTTTTTTTTTACATAGGGCCTGTGCCAAATGATAGAAAAGAGAAAATTTTGACGGATCAAAGTAAAAATATGACATTTGTCGTGGTGAATAAGAACGTCAGAATTTTACCTAGCTCATGGGGCTGTAAACCATGTATACACATAATATTGCTTGGCGGTAATAAGGAGTGAACATGAAAATGAAAGCTGAAACAGCATAAAAAAAGCGTACGTTACTTGCAAATTATAAAATAAATATAAATTTTAAGAATTTCAGCAACACACAAAAATAAAGCTTTCGCACGAGCGTTTGTTTGGTTTTTCAACTGTCAAAATTTAACTCTGCATTTGGCACAGCAAAATTCAATTTATTTGTACACCATAGCACATTTCTCCACCCCGTCTCACCACGGAGAAAAAAGTTACCGATTGGCACAGGCCCATATTAAGCGTAGATGTAAAAAAATGCTGCTAATATGTACCATTGAAATTTAAAACCAAATGGACTTTAAAACTTCATACTAGAAAAAGATCTAAACATTATGGTTAAACAAATTGAAATTTAAATTTTCATAAAAAATATCGAAAACAATTTATTATGAAAAAACATGGGAAATATTGTAAAAATTTCCATGGGATCAATTATGTGAGTTACTGTATGTATGTATATACGATAAAACGTCAGCATTCGTAACACTTACATAACTATGTATGTACACTAGGCGACAAATGACAGTATACGCCTTGTTTTAATATAATATTCACAGTTATTTTCATAAAACATTTTTTCATTAATTGTTTATGAAAATATAGTTCATTCTGCAACATAAACCATATAAATCAAAGCTCCACACTTTATATAAAGTTCATAAAAATTAAAAAAATTTCATCAAAAATTGTCAAAATCAAAAATTTTCGAGTATGCAGTTTTGTAGCCCATTCAGTTTTAGTCTAATGAAATGCAAGTTTTTTTTTTTTTAATATAACAAGCTCAATTTGCGTATTTTATTTCATAAGAAATTCAAGCTTATATGGAAAAAAATTCAAAAATCCGAGGGATTTTTTAGACGTTTGAAACTTGCACTTCATTAGACTATAATTAAATGGGCTACAAAACTGCATACTCAAACATTTTCTGGAGATTGGAGAAATTGAAATTTTTAATGAAATTTTTTGAATTTTTGTGAACTTAATATAAATTGTGGAGCTTTCATTTATATGGTTTATGTTTGCAGAATGAACTATATTTTCATAAGCAATTAATGAAAAAAATGTTTCGTGAAAATAACTGAATATTATATTAAAACAAGGTGTACACTTTCATTTGTCTCCTAGTGTATATGCATATGTATGTATCTGATGATTTGTTCATACTTTATATGTATCTATAACGTTTGGAAGCAATTTATTTGTAAAAATGTATGCTAACGTTATGTACATACATACATATATACATATATGCAGCGGAGGAGTCATAGTTTTTAAATTAGGCATTGATTCCACTGATGGCTCATTTATTCAAACAGATATTATTTAATTGGCACCATAAATAAATTTGTTGCACCAATTTAATCAACTAGAAGAGCATACTTTGGGGTTTTTGGCAAATTTTGAGCTCAAAACTTAAAAGCCAATACCATGTATCTTGGGTTTTGTTGTTTAATAAAGCGAGTCGCTACATAGATTATAAATAGTGAACGGATTTTTAGGACCTCAAAACCTATAAAATAGGCTGTAAAAGGCAAAATAAAATACCGAAATAGGCAGAAAAAAGGCACTAGGAGTCGAAAAAAGGCACTAGGAGTCGAAAAAAGGCAGAAAAAGGCGCTAGAGATCGCAAAAAAGGCAACAGAAGGCGGCACTAATGAAAGACAAAAACCGAAAAATAATCAAAATATACTGTCGAATTATTAACTATATAGTTGTAGTAAAATTGAACCACTGGATGCATTTTGAAGTTTTCTGGCAGCATTTTCATATGATTTTCGCGTAGAAAGCCTTGAATGTACTAAACGTGCGCTCGACGTGAGTTGGTACAAGTGGCGCCCAATTTAAATATGGAACGTTTAAAACTTCCATATCATGAGGAATAAGGGCTTTTTCCTCGCCCTTAACAATTTTATCCACACCCCGTTTTGTCTCCAAGCCTACATTAGCTGAAAAAATGGCTTTGAAAATTTCCAGCATCAATTTGGCAATAGGCCCTGCGCTTCTATAAGCCGCTTCTCAAAAGTGGTATTCACGGAATTGAGCAAAAGAGCAGATGAGCTCAATCAACGATTGTTGACAACAGAAGGTAGAAAAGGCAAATATCTTAAAAAAGGCAACATCAAATGTAGCAGAAAAAGGCAATTTCCATAAAATCCGTTCCCTGATTATAAATATACATATTATGTAGTCACGTACCGTAGATGGAAGTGTTATTTTTGTTACACATGTTTTAAATGCCGCAACAATAATTGATTATCTTTTCTTAAGCAGGGATNTTTGTTACACATGTTTTAAATGCCGCAACAATAATTGATTATCTTTTCTTGATCCCTGCACACGTTTT